TCAGGTGATCTACCCACCTCTGCTTCCCAAAGTGCTGGCATTCCAGGCACATTCCAGGCATGAGCCATCGTACCCGGCCTCATCTCACTCTTTTTAACATAAAATAGTCTCAATGGCCTTATCAGATGAATACAGTTAAAACGTTTTATTCTGTTTCCTGGAGTCCAGAGTTTTAATAGTCACAAGACAAGAAGGGTTGACCAGGACCACAGGGCTATGGCTAATCTACCCCTGAATGGATCAAAGGCTAAGGAGGGAAGAGAGAATGGAGGCACACTGAGCCCCTAAGTGTGCCAGGCAGTGCTCAGGCACTTTCCTGACACCATCCCTGCTCTTGCAGCAGCTCTTTGAGGCAGGGATCATCATTTTCATTTACAGTTCAGAAGGCCAAGGCCCAGTTGTGTCTGAATTCAAAGTCTCTGTGTTCTCCTTCAGGGTTTATCGTCAAGTGGGGAGTGAGCTGCCAGAATGTGCAGAGAAAGAGGGAGAGAGACGACAGTACAAAGAAGGAATAATTATTCTCATTTGTTGATATTTGTTCTCCCTGGGCATATTGTAAAGGAGTCAAACATCTGTTCCTTTCAGCAAGCAGCATTCAATGACTGAAGTAATTTGAAATATTTAATCAATCAATATTTCTTTACTGCCCCTGATGTGCCTGACTATTCTAGGCTCTGTGGATAAAAAGATTAAAGAAAGGCATGGTCCCAGATCTCAAACAGCTCATTGTTTCGTAAGAAAGACAAATAAATCAACACAAATCAGTGCAGATAGAATCCATTCACAGAGCAGTTTCAGTTTTTCGGGATGACTAATGACTGTGTTCTGGAGGGCTAATGTATAGCATGGAGACATTATATCTAATAATACTGTACTGTATACTTGAAATTTTCTAAGAGAGTGGATCTTCAGTGTTCTCACCACAAAATTACAAAAAACGAAAGGGAACTCTGTGAGGTGATAGAAGTGTTAATTGACTTAATTGTGGTAAACATTTCACAATGTACACAGATAGCAAAACATCATGTTTAAATGTACATAATAATTCAGTGGACAGTTTTGCCTCACTAAAGTGAGAAAAAAACCATAGCTAACTAAATAATTAATCAAAAACCTAAATTCACAAAAAAATGGGCACAAAATAAATGTTTACCCTGGAGTGATCACAGAAGGCTTTACAAAAACAAAATTATGAAGAAAATAAAGAATAAATAGGAACTTCAGGCCCACAAAACAAGAAAGGCTATTCCAGGACAGGCTACGGTTGGAGTTTGGGCTTCCTCTATAAGATGAGAGGGAACTTTATTTTAGGCAGAATCATATGATCTGACTCTCATTTTAAAAGATGTGTAGCAGCCGGCCATGGTGGCTCATGTCTGTAATCCCAGCACTTTGGAAGGCCGATGCAGGCAGATCACATGAGGCCAGGGGTTCGAGACCACCCTGGCCAAAACCCCGTCTCTAATTAAAAAAAAAAAAAAAAAAAAATTAGCTGGGCATGATGGTGAGCACCTGTAATCCCAGCTACTAGGGAGGCGGAGGCATGAGAATTGCTTGAACCTGGGAGGCAGGAGTTGCAGTGAGCCAGGATCGCACCACTGCACTCCAGCCTGGCGACAGAGTGAGATTTGGTCTAAAAAACAACAAACAACAACAACAAAAAAAGGTGGGGGCAAGCACCTCCGAGGGTGTGTGCATGGAGGATGGGTTTATGGAGGGTTATGCAAAAGTGGGAGGATTTACAGTATAAGAAGAAGATTGCTGTGAATGATACGTAACAAAGTCCTGAACTAGGGAAGTAAAGGTGAACATGAAGGGAAGAAATGGATGTGGGAGAGTGAAGACATAGAGTGGATAAGATTCTTTTGGTCATTCCATATTAGGGATAAATGAGAAGGACTTCAAGATGATTCCTAGGCATAGGTGATTATGGTTAACATGAACCAGCACAGGGAAGCGGGGGCAGGCAGCTTGGGAGCTGCGGTGAACAATGAGCTCAGGTTGGAACATATTGAACTTGAGATGCCTTCGGAGTGATAGGGCAGAGGACTCTACCAGGGAACTGGACACACAGGTCTGGACTCTAGAGGGGTCTCAGCTTTGGAGTAGGAGCTAAAACTGTGGAGAGTAGGAATAGGAGGAAATGAAGAACCCCGGAGAACACTGGTATTTACGGTATTGCAAAGGATGAGAAGATAGCACCAAGGGCCCAAAAAGAAGGGATTTATCCGTAGAACAAAGTGACATGGATCTAATGAGATCAAGATGTGAGTGCTTCACAGTGTTACAGAAAATGTCAGCGTCAAGTATCACAATAAAGCAAACCAGAGCTGTGTGGCGATCAGCAGCTTGATGTTCACAAGCACACAAAATGAGTTCCCACCCAGAAGGATTGCCCAAAAGATCTAGGATTAAGAACCAGATTAAGCTGTAAGAAAAGTTAAGACAGTTTTTAAAAGCCAAGAAGAGCAGAAGAACCAAAAATGAGAGCTGATGTTCTCCAGTCTGGGAAAGGCATGCTTTGACTGAGGGACCGTATTTACACCAGGGTCCTGTGGCTGCTCATCAGTCAGGTGGCTTGTCTCTAGCAAAAGAGCAGAAGGCTGAGTCTTCCCCAGGGCCATAGCTGTGTGGACTACAGGGGACACTTGTCTCAGAGGCAGCCAATGTTCTGGCTGGCCTGTGAAAATAAGATTGTGTCTCCTGAAAATGCACAAAGAGACAGAGGCTGTACGTGATTGCTTCCAGGCTTTTGAACTGGAAGGCTGCTTTGGAATTGGGGCCTTGATGTGGTCCCTTAGCAAGCCAAGGTCACATGCAAGCTACAGTTAGAGGTGAGACTGTAACAAAAAGGAAGATACTATGCGGGTGGAGAGAGAAAAAGAAAGGGGAAGAGAGACGGGCAGGCCCTGCAATTGTGACCTGTCCCCTTAAGGACCCTCTGCATCCCTGCACTGGATTCCTTTACATGCTTGTACGGCTGGAGTGGGTTTTGGCTCCTTGCAACTGTTTAGTACAATGATAATAGTAGCAATGGGAGCTACATTTGTTGACTGTTTACCATGCGCCGGGCACGAAGTTAAGCATTTCACATGTGTTGACTTACTTGATGCTTACAACAGCACTATGAAAATGGTTCTACTTTTATTTCTGTTTTACGGATAAGGAAACAGAGGCAAAGAGAAGGTAATCTATTTGCTCCAGATGCATCATTTATAAGTATGGAACTTGTCGGAAATAACGTTTTCCTGCAAAAGTTTGCATTTCTGTTCTTTTGAATAAGTGTGAATGCCTATGAGTGCCAGCCAGGCATGGCGCTAAGTACAGGGATGAAGAGAAAGTATTCAAATAAGTCCATGTCTTTATTCTTGAGGAGCTTTTAGTCCAGCGGGGAGAAGCTCAGAGAGGCCCAAGGGCAGGGCAGAGCAAAACAAAGAAGGAGGACAGGAAGACAAGGACAAGGAATGGAAAGGAAAGGAATGGAAAGGGAAGGAGAGAGAAGGAAAGGGAAGGAGAGAAGAGGGAAGGGAAGGAAAGAAGAGGGAAGGGAAGGAGAGGGAAGGGAAAAGAAGGAAGGGGGAGGAAGGGGAAGAGAGGGGAGGGAAGGGAAGGGAGGGAGAAGGGAGGGAAGAGAAGCAGAGGGGAGGGAAGGGAAGGAGAGGGGTGGGGCGGGAAGGAGAGAGAAGAGGGGAGGACAGATAATGGGAAGGAAGGGGCTAGAGAAGGAAAAGGAAGGGAAAGAGAGGAAATGGGAGGGGAGAGGAAGGGAGGGGAGAGGAGCACAGGGAAGGGAAGAACAGGGAAGGGGAAGGAAGGGAAGACAGATGGGGTGGAAGAGAGGGAGATGAAGGGGAGGGAAGGGAAGGACAGGGAAGGGGAGCGGAGAGCAAGCAGAAGCTAGGGACTGGAACCGCAGGAGCAGATGAGAAGCAATGATGAGAATACTGAGCACCAGAGACTGTAGCAACAGGAAAGAAAGCCAGAGACAGAAAATGAAGAGGTCCCAGAGGAAGGGCAAGCCACTGCCTAGCCTTGGGAGCTCCTCGGAGAGCCGAGGTCTGACATCTTCCCCACGGCCTCCAGTGCCCCGCGGCTCCTGCAGGCGTAAGTCTACCATAATTCAGTACAGCTTTCCAAAGGATCCGGGAGAGTTCTCACAGAAGTATGTTTTTAAAGTGTGTGAACGTGTAGGGCCAGGCACGGTGGCTCATCCCTATAATCCCAGCACTTTGGGAGGTCGAGGCAGATGGATCCCGAGGTCGGGAGTCTGAGATCAACCTGGTCAACATGGTGAAACCCCGACTCTACAAAAAATACAAAAATTAGCCAGGCATGGTGGCACGCACCTGTAGTCCCAGCTACTTGGGAGACTGAGGCAGGAGCATCGCTCGAACCTGGGAGGCGGAGGCTGCAGTGAGCCGAGATGGCGCCACTGCATTCCAGAGCGAAACTGTCTCAGAAGAAAAAAATGTCAACATGTAGAAGAAAGTACGTTTAAAGTACACAGGCCTCAAAAGCACGTTGTAATTGTCCCAACCAAGTGAGCGTGTTGTGTCTTTTCTCCTCCGTGGTCCTTCTCCCACGGAGGGCAGAGACAGGGAGGGGGGCAAAGGGGATGGGAAAGGGGGCCTGGGCCCAGCCCAGGTGTGGGGCTCCCCACCTTCGAAAGGCAGCAGAAACCCTCACACCGAGTTGGTTACCCAGGGTTGGGCTTTCAAAGGATGGACCAGAGACTGCTGTCCCTTCTGTCATTTTTTAAATTAAAGCGACTGTAGGACCCTGTTGTTCCTACAAGTGATCCAAGTGACCCGAGTTTTCAGCCGGAGCCAGAAGACAGTTCTCTCTGGGTAAATTTTAAAGAGATGGTAGGAGACAACAATCAAGTTCCTTTTTAATTTCATCTCATGAGTCTTGCCTGGTTCAACACACTGAAGGCGGAAGAGAGCTTCCTACTGCCACCAGCCTGGCTGGGTACCCAGGAACTCGGGACACTTTCTTACCTCCCTCCTTTTTCCTTGGTGGCGCTTTTGCTGAGAACAGTGTTTCGTCCAGAAGCTGGCTCCGATTTGTCTTCTGTGGGAGACCCAAATCCGGCACTAAAATGATAACTATTTTTTCTTGTCATTTGAAAAAAAACCACAACCAATTTCAATCACATGGAAAATAACAATACATTACATTTGCATTTAGAGTTTACAAGGCATTCTTACTTCATTATATGATTTGATTCCTTTCCCCATCACGAAGCTGGGGACCCAGCGTTATTTCATCTGCAGCTAAGAAAATGAAAGCCGCATAGACCCTAAGTCATGTGGCCCAAATCACTGCAGGTCAGCGGCAGCTAGAATGTAGAACCAGATTTCCTGGCTCCTTCTCCAGAGATCCTTCCCACAGCAATGTAAAAGGCAGTTGTGCAATTGTATTGCCATAAGAAGAATGAAAATCCAGTTGCCCAAATCTAAAATCTAAAACATTTTTTCACGCTCAAATTAAAGGGGGAGTTATTTGCGTATAGCTAAAACATTCATTCATTTCTTACTTGCTCTTGTCTTTACTTGATCTTCTTAAGGAAGATGAAGAAGAAATGCTTCGCCCATAACCAGTGTCTGATTTATCTTCCATAGATGAAGGTGGAGAACTGAAATTTTACACATTTAAAATTATATATAGATTAAAATAATCTATTTGTCAATAGATTATTGCTTTATTCCACAAACCAGAATTTTTTCCTGAAAGTCACAGCTGGAGCTGACTTTTAACAGTGACATACTATTTTTAAAGTATAAAGGAGGAGTTATTTTTTGTTTGTTTTTTTGAGACAGGGTCTCTGTCACCCAGGCTAGAGTTCAGGCATATGATTATGGCTCACTGCAGCCTCGAATTCCTGGGCTCAAACAATCCTCCCACCTCAGCTGTAGCTGAGACTACAGGCATGCACCACCATATACAGCTAATTTTTGTATTTTTTGTATAGATGGGGTTTTGTCATGTTTCCCAAGCTGGTCTTAAACTCCTGAGCTCAAGGAATCACCTGCATCAGCCTCACAGTGTTGGGATTACAGGTGTGAGCCACTGCCAAATGACTATTATAAAGCCTTTCATAAGCTAGAACAGAAATTATTTGTATAAAATGTATCACATAGGTACTATATAGCTATATAGATATACATGATCATTTTTAAGAAGACCATGGGAGCTTTCATTTTTAGCTCTACCATTTACTTCTTATATCAAAGAGAAACGTTGGGTGGTAACTGTACTCCAGCACACAGCCCTGGAGAATTGTAAACATGATCCATCTTGGTTTGCTGCTATTTACACTTCCTTCAGTGACTTCTCGGTAAGAGGCCTTGACTTCAGAATGTGCTTGAAATTGACTGGTAGTATGGAGTCAAAGGAAGGGAGCAGAGAGCTCATTGATTTGCGGTGGTGGCTATTTCACGGTTATTCCACGTCAGGCAACGAGTTTATGAGCCGGTGTTTATTTTCACGGAGGTGCTGGATACAGGAGAAAAGAATCGGGGAATCTTGGCATATTCACATGCTGATAGAGAAACAACACCACCACAAGTACGTGCTTCCATGCAACCCCTCTGCCTGCAAAGACTCACACATCAGATTTACTGTTGATTAAGAGTATAGCCCGTAGGTCACTTGGTTCCTGTAAGCAGAGCTCCTTCAAAGGCAGCAGTTTCGTGCCGGGATTTATCTGTAAGATAATTTAAGCGCTAAAAGGTAGTATCTGCATGGGGTCATATTTTTGAAAATGAGTACAGACAGAACATGTTCTCAGCAGTTTGCAGTGTCTAATTTCACACACACAAACATGCACGTGTATAATATACATATATAAATTTATAAACAGGAACCTGAAGTTTGTGGATATTCTTGCCTTTGGGCAGGACAGATCCAGTTCCTTATCATCTCGATTGCTTTACACTCAGCTGTTTTATGTCATCATTATCATCTTGGCCCCTGGAAGTATTTGGATTGGCAAATTCATCTATATACCTGAGGGAGAACTGACTGCCTGCAAAAGTAACTGGGTACTGGAACAGATGACTAAAAGTGTTGTGAGTGTGTCTAAAAGTAGGCTAGACAAAGCCCTGTGCGGGCAGTTTCACCAGCCTGGAGGAAGAGGGCTAGACTAGATCAGTTCTGAGATATTTTTCCAATTTTGTTATAGTCGAATCCCTTTCTCATCCAAGATACCTTTCATGGTCCTTTGGAAAGAAGGCAAAAGTGAGCCTTTTAAAATAAGACTGACCCCGCCATTTTTCTGCCCAGGATCCTGCCACGGTTCCTGCTGCAGTCAGAGTGAAGGCCATGTCCTTCCGCTGTTCTCCAAGACTCACATGACCTGGCCTCCGTTAGCCCTCTGCTCTCGGGTCTGCTCCCCTCCCACTTTGCTCGCCCGGCTCTAGCCGCACCAGCCTTCTTGCTGTGCCTAGCACATGCCAAGCATATATTCATTCATGGCTCTTGCAATGGTGGTTTCCTCTGCCTAGAAAACAACCCCAGATTTGCCCAGGACTTCCCCCAGCCCCAGATTTGCCCAGAACTAAGGCCCTCACGTCCTGCAAGTTTGAGCTTGGAAATGATCATCCCATCAGTGAGATCCATCTAACCACCATTTCTAAAATTGCAACCACCCGCACCTCAGGGCTCCCCAGCATTTCAGAGCGCCTCACCCTGCCTCTGCGCTGCTCTCTTCTCCCTCCCTGGTGACTTTTATTTATTTATTGAAGATTGATTCTCACTCTTTTGCTCAGGCTGAAGGGCAATGGTGCAATCTCGGCTCACTACAACCTCTGTCTCCCAAGTTCAAGTGATTCTCCTGCCTCAGCCTCCCGAGTAGCTGGGATTACAGGTGCATGCCACCACCCCTGGCTAATTTTTGTATTTTTAGTAGAGATGAGGTTTCACCATGTTGGTCAGGTGGTCTCGAACTCCTGACCTCAAGTGATCCACCTGCCTCGGCCTCCCAAAGTGCTGGGATTACAGGCCCGTGCCTCTCATTTCTACCCTGGGATAGGATTTGTTTCAGTATCCTGTTAGGTGTTTATCCTCTGTCCCCCGGCACTGGTACCATGGGAGCGGAGACCTTGGTCTCCATTGTTTATTCACAGACTCCAGTATCAGAAACTTGGAAAAATATTTACTGAATGAATGAATCAGAGCATCCCCCTTTAGAAAAGAAACTGTCTCATTAAATGTTTTAAAACTTCATGACCAAACACCTTTTGTCACGATTTAATCTGATCTATGGCAGGGTTTTCCTGGTGAGTGCTCTTCGATCGTTTTTCGGCTTTTTCCCTCGGGTTTCTTGTTTGTTTCTCCCCCTCTTGCTTTTCTTAAAGCAGCTTTGTCCTGATGCTGCAGCATTCTTTTTAAATTATCACTGAAGGAGGTGGGCTTCCTGGGAGCCATGTCTCAGTGGTTTGTGTGTGTTGCAGGGTGTTACAGGGCACGGCAGTGGTGGCAACAGGTCGGGAGGTCGGGGAGGCAGAAGGGAGAGTGAGTGTCAAGTTTTGGGCGAGCTGTTTTGAATTATTCAAATTTTCTCTAGTTCTCCACTACCGCGATCGAGTGTTTCCTGCAACCGAGACTCAGTGATTCACTTTTATGGCCCTGTCTCCTCTGCTTCTTGGAACCGAATCGGTCCCAGAAGGCTTCTGCTGTCAGCCTCACTCCCCATGTCCTGAGTTCTTACACCTGCCTGGAAGACAACCCTTAACAGCTCTTGCATTTCTGAGTTCTCCCGTGACCTCAGGAAGCGCACAGCGCTCATGGTGCTTGCTTTCTGAGCTCTGCTTTCATTAGGTCCCTTGTTCCTGTCTGTGATTTTTTTTTTCCTTTTCCTTTTTCCTCCGGCACAGCTTCTGTCTGATCTTGGGAGCTTTTGGCAACCCTTAAAAATGTTTTAACTCTGCAGACCATATCTGCTTCCTAGTTCTGCTTAAAATGGAATTCGTGGGCTTTTAACATTTCCCCCATTCTCTTCATTGCTTTTGGTTTCCAGAAGAAGTAGAAAATACTGACTAAACCAGTCATGTAAAAAGTGTCCTCAAGATTTCAATTTCTAGCTTCTCACTTCTCTCAACATTCATGTAATGGAAATAATAGAGCCCCCAAATTTTAAATGCTACTGTCTTTTTAAAGACAGGCTGGAGGGCAGTGGTGTGATCATAGTTCACTGCATCCTTGAACTCTGGGATCAAGCTGTCCTAACTCAGCCTCCTGAGTAGATCGGACTACAGAGGCATGCCACCATACCCAGGTAATTTTTAAAAGTTTTTTTGTAGAGACAGGCTTTCACTATGTTCCCCAGGCTGATGTCAAACTCCTGCCTCAAGTGATTCTCCTACCTTAGACTCCCAAAGTTCTGGGATTACAGGCATGAGTCATGTGACCTGCTCCTTCTTTTATGTCATTTTTTTTGGATAGGGTCTTGCTATGCTGCCTGGGCTGGAGTGCAATGGCTGCTCACAGGTGCAACCACAGTGCACTGTAGCCTCGAACTCCTGGGCTCTTGGTCTCAAGTGATCCTCCTGCTTCAGCCTCACAAATAGCTGGGACTCCAGGTATGCATCACCATGCCCACCCAGCTTTTCTTTTGTATCTTGTCTGAAACTTGAGACTGCCACTACCAAGCTGATTTAATTACAAGTAATCACATTCTAGTTAAAACTGAACAAAAAATGCAAAATCTTATAACCAAAGTTAAGAATGAAGTGCTGATTTTTGAGTTTCTGCCTGTGAAATATAAATCACATTCAGTGATTCTGAAATTGCAATGTAATGGTATCAGGATTAAATAAAAATTATTATCCTACATACTAAAGTACAAATAAGTGCTGTCACTTACCCGACCATAATCATAGAATCCGTCGTTAATTATGTTACTTGACGATAAATAGCCGGTCTGGCTGTATTTCAGGGAAAGATTGTTGTTGAGCAACTTACTATAAGCTGCCTCGCTGAATTTATTTTTCCGACTTCCTGATAGGTTAACTTCTTCAAGGACATCTAAAGCCCTTTCAATAAAAACAAGAAGCGTTATTTGTTTTATACAAGCCAATCAACACTGAGTCTCCATTTCTATACTGACTTAAGATCCTGAAGGGAGAAGAGATGGAGCTTAAAGCCTCCCCCACCCTTTTAGGTAAAGTAATTCTGACAGAATTATAAAGACAAATCTGCCCTTCTTAAGGATACATATGCCAAGTAGTAACTCATATTCAAACAGGTGAAAAGGACACTTTCAGGAGAAAGAGTTCTTTGTTCATCTAAAAGCAAAATTCTTATAGGACCTCAGCTTTTTCATCTAACTAAATGCAATATATGCAAAGAATCCAAATGTTTAGAAATTAATAAAGGAAACCTATCTATAGAAACTTAAAACCTGGGGCCAGATGTGGTGGCTCACTGCTGTAATCCCAGCACTTTAGGAGGCTGAGGCGGGCAAATCACTTGAGATTAGGAGTTCGAGACCAGCCTGGCCAACATGGCAAAACTGTCTCTATTAAAAATATAAAAGAGTAATCCTAGATACTCGGGAGGCTGAGACAGGAGAATTGCTTGAATCTAAGAGGTAGAAGTTGCAGTGTGAGATCACACCACTGTACTTTAGCCTGGGCAACAGAGCAAGACTCTGAAAGAAAGAGAAAAAGAAAGAAAGAAAGAGAGAAAGAGAGAGAGAGAGGGAGGAAGGGAAGGAAAGAAGGAAGGGAAGGGAGGACAGGAAAAACCCTATTTGCTGATGTGCTGAAGGCAACAAACTCATCTGCTTTTGGTCAACAGAACTCATTGGTGAGGGTGGTTAAATGTGGAATTCTGGTGAAAAGGTTTGGATGGGTGGGGAAGAAAATAGAGGTGATAGTCATAGCTTGCCCATTTAATTTTAGCCTTGAAAGTTGGGAGAAAAATAGAATTTGTTTGGCAGTAGCAGAAGAAAGTAAAAGAGAAGCATTTATCAAGATAAAGGGGTTAGAAAAAAATATCAAAGATGATTTTTTCAAGGGCAGTGGGGGAACATTCACATGCGGTGAATGGGTACCCCTCTGCCTCCAGGCGGTTCCTTCTAGCCAAGACTGGTCCTGGGGACACGCAGAGCTCCTGAGTGTTCTGCGGACTGACAGAGCAGCGCAGACTCTGCTTGAAATTCCTTGGGCCTGAAGAGTGTGCCTTTCCATCATCTGCTCTTCATCTGAGCCAGAAACTTGAGATGGCATCCACTCACCCGAGCCTGCATAATTCATTGGCCGTCAGCTCGTCACCAGCACAGACCATCACTGCCCAGCTGGCGTGCTTCCTGACTTCATCGTTCTTGGAGTGCAGCAGCTCTACCAGGGGCTCCAATCCACCAGAATTTCTTAACTAAAGCAGAAACCAAAATGTTACACATTAAGAGTGTAGAATGTAACTATTTGTGCTGTTGAAAAAATCTCATTATTTGATTGCTAAAAGGTTTTAACTATATAAAAATGCTTTAGAATGTGTCTATCTTTAGGTTTATTAAATCCAGGGGGAAAAATGTATTGCAAACCCTTACATGCAGGAGCCCGGTTTACTGGCCCCAGGAAAGTATCCTAGGGAGGTCATCCTGATTTTACGTGGGACGGGCACTGCGGCAGTCTGTCTTCTCACTGCTCGCACGTGGGATGCCGGATGCTTATTCACTCTGCTCCTGAACACTGAATGTTCCTTTGGCTCTGTAATTGGCAGAATAACGGTCCCCCAAAGATGTCCTCATCCCTGGAAGGGGCTCTGCAGAGGTGATTAAGGGTCTTGAGATAGGGAGATGATCCTGGATTAGCCAGGAGGGTTCAGTGTAAGCACAAGGATCTTTATAAGACAGGGATAGAGGGGTGGCAAGCAGAAAAAAGAGACATGATGGAAGCAGAGGTTGAAGTGACGTGCTTCGAAGATCCAAGGGTCACAAGCCAAGGAAGACAGGAAGCCCCTGGAAGCTGAAAGGGCAAGGACATAAGACACATCTCCAGGCTTCTGACCTCCCAATCTATATGATATTAGATTTGCATGGCTTTAAGCCACTAAGTGGTGGTCATTTGTCACAGCAGCAATAGGAAGTTAACACCATCTCTGAGGCTGGGGCAGGATGAACCGATGCCGGCAAGGATCCCCCAACATCACCGTGCACGGCCACCAAGTCAGCAGTGCATCCAGAGCAACACTCAAGCAGTTCTCCAGAGAAAGACCCATGTTTGCTATCCGCACAGTGTCTTCTCTTCCTTTCTCCAAGGACAGAAGAGGAGAAGAGAATAATTGCATAGAACTGCATTAATTACATTATTAAAAGACATCACTCATGTATAAAATCATTCTGGCCAGGTGCAATGGCTCATGCCTGTAATCCCAGCACTCTGGGAGGCCAAGGCAGGTGGATCACCTGAGGTCAGGAGTTTGAGACAGCCTGACCCATATGGAGAAACCCTGTCTCTACTAAAAATACAAAAATTAGCTGGGCGTGATGGTGGGCGCCTGTTAATCCCGCTACTTGGGAGGCTGAGGCAGGAGAGTCGCTTGAACCCAGGAGGCAGAAGTTGCAGTGAGCTGAGATCGCACCATTGCACTTTAGCCTGGATGACAGGGCAAGACTCCCTCTCAAAAAAAAAAAAAAAAAAAATTCCAATCAGAAAAAAAGAAAGATTGGGCAGAGTTCTTATCTCATGTCTGAAATGTAATGCTGAATTATCTATGTGTCTGGAGGATAAAAGGAATATTCTTATTTTACCAGTTTGAATGTTAGTATCTGAAGGCAAGATCCCTGTGGAATGTGTTCTGCTTTCAGGCACTCTTATCTCAAACACAGGGGCCCTGGTGGGGCTTCCATTTTATCACATATTACTTGGGCAGCTTAGAAAGTTCACTTAAATCATACTAACGCTTAGCAAGCCAACTTTCTGATCATTTTTATATCTGGGTATAATATAAGACAGTAATCTAACACTATGTGTCCTTTAGGCAAAGATTTAATTTATTCATTAATTCCTTCATTTATTCATTCATTCATTCATTTAACAACTATTCATTCAGCATGTATTATGTGCCAGGTATATATTAATGACATGGACACAGGGACAAAAATATGTCAGTTCCTTTCCCTAAAGCCTCAGGGAGCTTGTAATCTTTTACACAGAACCATACCATTCAAGAAAGGAAGACAAGGGTGCCATGGGAGCATAAAAAAAGATGCACCCCGGTTTGAAAACTAAAGAAAGGCCTCCTGGGGGACAGGAAGGTAGGGCTGAATTTTGTAGGAGAAAGAGGAATTTATCAAGTGGGGAAAAGGAAGAACGCAGAAAAATCTAGCAGGTACAGCTCTGAGAGCAGAGCATTCAGATGGAGTAACAGGTCGTGTGGCATTTCTGGAGTGCAGAGTTCCACCTGGACAGTTGGAGCTTACACCCTTTACACCCTTAGGTAGGCAGGTGCAGGTCACGAAGATCAGCCTGGAGCCAGTAAGGGGGATAGAAGGGGAGGGGAAAACAGTAAAGGGTCTCCTGCATACCCCAAGAATTAGGTGGGTGCCCCTGCAGGCTGCACGGAGGCAAAAAGAGGACTCTTGTTTGTCACTGTGCCCATGATACCCAAGAGAGCACCGGGCACACAGTAGGTGGTGTCTACCACTACCTGCATGAGTGAGCACAAATGAAGTGAGTCAATGGGAACAAGAAAGGGAGGCAGAATGGAGATCGAGGAGACAGAAGAAAAGCATTAGGCAGTTGTTTGAGCAGACAGCCTCGTGTGAAGCTTGGGCTCTGGACTCAGATGTGTTCTTATATCCCTGACTTGCCACTTACACTCTGCTTTGAGTATATTTCTTTAAGCCTCATTTTCCTTATCTGTAATATGAGGATTACAAACATACGTATCTCAAGTGAGGCTTAAATGCATGTAAAGTGCTTAGCACACATGTAGCACACAGTAGGTGCCCATAAACGCTGGCTTTGTTATTTTTATGGGACAGAGAAGAACAAAGTCCCAGGATGTTCAAATGAGTCCCATGGCGACAAGAAAATGTGAGAAAATTAAGAAAAAAAAAAGGGGTGATTGTTGATTTAAGTCCAGCTGTATTTTTATTCTTTTAGGAGGCAGAATCTTTTTGTAGAGATGTGGATCTCCCTAAGTTGCTCAGGCTGGCCTCAAACTCATGGCCTCAAGCAATCCACCTGCCTTGACTTCCCAAAGTGCTAGGATAACAAGCGTCAGCCATTGCACCTAGCCCAAATGAAGGTTTTCTGAAGATTTAATAGGATCACCATAAGTTACCAAGGACATTTTTATATCATGGATTTTCAGATAAATGCAATTGCATATTTTAAAAATAAGAAATATAAGAGAAACACAAGAGTACACATCATAACCAACATCCATAATTTGAAGAATTCTAGTAAAAAGCACACCTGTTTGTCTACTACCCAACTTAAGAGATGACCATTTCAATGCCACTGAACCCTGTGTGTTCCATCCGATTACATGCCCCCCTTTCTCCCTGCAGAAGCAACCGCTTTCTTGAATTTCAGATTCATCATTCCCTCAATTTACTTTATAGTTTTAACTTATATGTATGCATGCCAAAACAGCATAGTGCTTAACTTTGCATACTCTTAAATGCTACATAAATGGAATTGTAAGTACGTATTTCTCTACAACTTGTTTTTCGTTGGCGTAATGCTGTGAACTCATCTCTGCTGACATATGAGGCTATAGCTCATTCATTTCTACTGACATGCTTTATCCGTTCTCTTAACAATTGAGCAATTAGTTTGTTTCCAGTCATTTAGCTACTATAAAGAATGCTTTCTGGTACACAGAGGCAACAGATTCTCTTAGTTATATACTTAGAAACAGAACTGCTGGGTTTCTAGGGCATGCTCACCTTGTTTGCTAATAAAACAAAACAAGACAAGACAATGCCAATTTGCTTTTCACTGTTGTACCAGTTTTGACGGACTTAAATGATAGGTTTGTTCAATCACTTAAAAAGGTTCCAAATGAATCCACCAACAGGTGCTAGCCAGAAAAATGAGAGAATACATGTTATTAAAACCCTCACCTCTGTCCGGGCCTCAACGTCACATGCAGTTGAGGCGACAGTGAGAGCAGCTTTGCTCTGCACGACTGTGTTTGCAGAATGCAGCGGGCTGATGATGGCGTGCATGATGCCATGGTTCTGTATGTTCTGGCGCAGGGGCTCCTGCATGGCCATGTTCGTTAATACCGTGGCAGCGTTGGCAATGGCTCCGTCTCGTTTACTAGACAGGATGTTTATTAATGGATCAATACCATCAGCTTCAGCAGCAGCGCTGAGTAAATGAAGGAGAAATGAATGTGATTCATCTGAATTCAAAAAATTATCTTTGGAGCATGGAACTAAGCTGATAAAACAAATGAGTACAGAAATACAATTTTAGAAATAAATTAATTTGCTATGCAATGAACCCAGAATTGGGCACTAGTGATTTAAATGGAGTCTGGGAAATTCTGAGCTATGAATGAATTTAAATAATTCTTTTTCTACTTTTACAGCTTTTGGTTAGAGAAAAATATACCATTACTGCTTCTTAGAAACCTCAGAAATAGATGACTACTACTTCTTAGAAAATGGGACAACCATTATTTTTATTTATTTATTTATTTACATTTAAGACCAGGAAATTCTATTTAAAGAAACTCTTATATGATTTTATACAAGAACCATAAAATTATTAGAAAGTTCTCTTGAAGATAAAATATTCCTAGCTATTAAGAAAACAGAGCCTTAATAGTAGAAATGAGTGAGCATGGAAACTCCTGATTTAAGTTAAAATTCATTAGCATGTCTTCCTCTTTTTCAGATTAGGTTGTTAATTGTAGGCAAAGGTTAACAGGTTTGAAACCAGCAAATCATTCTGCATGTGAATATTGCTTTTACAAATTAAACATCAAAGATCAAAGTCATGATATGGATATAGATAATTTTAGTAATGTAGGCATATTCGGTTATTAAATTTCCTGTCTCTAGTATAAAAGGACTACAGTTACTATTAATATATTAACATTTTTTACAATTAGATAGCCTAAATCTTTTAAGGGCACAAAATAGTCCTTGTTTTAAAATCAGTTTAAAAGCTCATATGTGGTAAAAATAAAAATTAGAGTATTTTAATGAATGGGAGATAATTTAGTTATGTTCTTCAGTGTTTGGAATCGCTTTAAATAGGAGATGTTCCAAGCAAGAAGATAAAGAGAGCGTCCTGATTTTAAAGGGAGACCCAAAATTCTGTGTTCAAAATCCATTTAAATCATCATAGTAATAGAAGTCATCAAGGCAATAAAAATACTTGAGATGTCAATAATATGAACATCTCTTTTAAGTTTTTGTTTGACACATTTTTAAATTTAGGATTACATAATAACCAAAAAATTCTTTAAAAAATTAAGGCTATGTGATTCAGCCCATAGCCCTGAATTGTGATGAATTAAATTTAATTTGGTATTGTCACTTCAATTTGCTTATTGTGAAGGAGGACTGACAACCTCAAGAAAAGAAGTGATGGCAGTTGTCTCTCAGAGCGGAGGCAAATGAAATCTCCATAAAAAGGCTGGTAGCTGTGGGTTTAAGGAGGCTGTGACTGTGGCACCAGCTCTGAAAGAAACTAAGCCACAGTGACTGGGCAGGAACGTAAGGCAGAAGGGCTCAGCTGGGGTCACCCTCTCAGGACCACCTCGCACCCTCAGTTACATAAACCAGTCCATCAAACACACCACACCCCACAAAGGCAAATGCAGAGCCTAGCTTCATTTCTACTCGTTCTTCAGTCCTTGTACATGTAACTCTTCTTTCGGTATTTTCCGTTCATTCTCTGCGACGACGTCCCTTCACATTCGGTTAGATGACATGTAACCAAAATTTACTTATACAAAAATGTCCAAAGGCCCTGCATCCCTCACTGTAATAGCCCAAGGATCAGCATTTAATTTACTTTCCTAGTGGATAAGTAAACATTCTTAAGCTAATTTCACTTTTCATCTTCTCTCCTGTTATTAATTGGCATGGTGTTCATATGGTTTTGTGAAAGGGGAAACGTTGGAGATTCTAACATTTTACCTTATCAGAAACATCTCATATTTTTACGATGAAAATACTGAATACTTTTTACAACTGCCAGCAAAAATGTTAAATTATGCATTTTCTAATTAATGATATATACTTAACCTCTTCAAAAATCATTTTTTTCCTTATTTTTCAGGTACTTAATGCAATCGGTCCCTTAAACCAAATACCTTGTATTTTTTAATCATTATAAACATTCCTTGGCCAAATACACAATTCCTTTGTTACCTGGTGGTTTTTCCTTGAAAATGCTTACTTTTTAAAACATCCTGAAGAGTTGAGAAAGAGCATACAATCGTAGGGTACTTCAGTGGCATCCAGGGTAGAAGCAGAGGTATTTTAAGTAAATGCATACAATAATTTCTCAAAGACCTTGTCTTTTGTGTGTGCCACAGAGATTTTAGAAAACTAAAGGAGTTCGTAGGTTCCTACATCATCTTTTTCATTTGTCTTAAAAACTAAGAAAAATCTGTTCATAGAGATACAAGAATTTACACCAGGTGTATCTGAACACTCAGCCTTCCAGCTTTCACTCTGTCTCTTTCTTTCTCCTCTACAAAGGCTTATTTTGACTTGCTTCCTTTATCTCTCTACCGTCTGCTCTTTTCTTTGCTCTTCATGGAGACAGTAAAGGGAAATGCATAAAAACCTAGCTGTTTAAAAAGCCAAATATTCCAGTACACAGTGGAATATAGCTTTTACTAAATTGAACATAAACGCCAGCACAGAAAGATGAATCGTGCAGGCACAGCTGGCACAAGGTGCATTATATGTACATATCCGCCCATAATTTGCTATGTGCAGCACTAAGTCTAAAAAGAATAACTGAGATTAACTTATCATGGTGGAAAATTAAACTATTATTCTTACCTTAAAAACTAATTTTATATATAGAAATAGACTGCAGAATTCATACTTTAAAAAACAAAAAAGAATTGAATTAATTCCGTTTACTTCAAACCTCAGAGATTCTGTTTTATTTTTCCGTGTACACAAGCCGAAGCCTGTCATATTTTTAAAACACATTTCGGTTTTCCAAATAGTATAGCATTATCCAAATGAATGGGATGGAAGTCAAACTGCTTTGTTTTAAAATCCAGAATTATAGGGCCATATGTCATCACAATAATTTGAAAATATTTTCTGATATTTACTATCATTAGTCTCCATCCAGTTGGAGTTTAATCAAGTAAGAGTTTAAAATGTAAATTGGGAAAAAAACAAACTAAAAAACAAATATGGGGATGTATAAAAACATCTGTTTATATAATTTGATATGTGTAAACAGAGGTGAAGCTTGACATGTCATGTGCTGTCGTTCTATTAGCAAATCCTGACTATTTCCTCTCCACGTTTCTCCAGTCTCTCCCTTCTCTCCATCCTCCCACGGAATCCAATCCAGCATCCTCTCTTGTGGGTTGATATAAATCATCTCCTAACAGGTCTCGCCTCACCCCTCCAGTCTTTCCTCCATCTTACAGCTAAAGTGATCTTTTATAATTATAATCATACTGCTCCCCTCCTTAAATTTTTCAAAATTTCCCATTGCTTAGGATAAAGTTCCCAGTTTTTTCTTTTTCTTTTTTGTTATATTTAAGAATTTTTTTTTTTTCTAGAGATGGAGTCTTACTATGCTGCCCCGGGTAGTCCCGAACTCATGGCCTCAAGCATTCCTGCTACCTCGACCTCCCAAAGTGCTGGAATTACAGGAGTGAGCTGCCATGCCTGGCCTAGTCCCAAATTTCTGACATGGTCTCTGAGGCCTTGTACAAGTGGCCCCCGGTTCTCATGCCAGCCCTACCCCTTCTCCCCCACCTGCCTCTTCCTGTAGCTCCGTGCTCTAGACCTCTCTGGCAACCTTCAATATTCCAGGCTTTTTCCCACATCAGAGTTCCCCTGTGCTGTTCCCACTTCCTGACATCCTCTTCCCCCCGGGACAATGCCCAGCCCTCTTTCACAGCTCAGCACAAATATCTTTTCCTCAAGGAGGCACTTCTGGATCCCCAAACTAGATTTCTGTTTAACATGAGCTCAGAGCATTTGTGTGCTAAATATACACATTTCTTTTTGTTTAAAAATATGATGTTCTGGCACAAAGGTTTACATCAGAGAAAAGTAACGATTTTAAAATGTTACTTTGCCGCACTTATGAATGGAATTCAACAGAGTTTTTCATTTAAATGCCCAAACCCCACAATAAAAAGGCACACTAAGAATGTCACTGAGGGAAAATTCAAACACACAAATAGTGTCTATGGCTTACTAAAAATATAATGCAATTTCCTGTCTGTCTTTGCACTTGTGGTCCCTTTGCTCCAAACACTCTTCCTTATCCCTCTGGCACTTGTGGCTGGAGAACTCCATCTCATTCTTCACTGTCTGCTTACTTGTCCCTTCCTCTGCAAAGCCATCTGTGACCATCACAGCCCTCCTTGTTCATCACACCCTCCTCTGTGCTGTGTCTGTACCTGGTACGTACTTCTTAGAGGTGATATTTGAGTCTTATTTGTATTTCCAGTGCCGAGATGACTAATATATTTTAATTGACTCAAATCAACTCAAGGTGAGTGAGCAGAAATCCGCTGCAGGTATTGAGGAGGAGGGAGGGGGAATGTGCTTAGCTCAGCTTTAAGTTTGCAAGACGGGACAGGATCCAACAACACTGGGATTTCTAGTGTTATCACTTACAGCTGCTCCTGAAATCGGTTCATTTCCCCCCCACCCTCTTGCTTCTCCAATTATACAGTGAGGTAATTTTTAGATGATATTCAAGAAATAAAATTTTGCACGTTAGACAACTTCTTGGGAATAAATTCATCTCTTTTAGCAAGGGATGTCTCTATTTTGCCTTTGCAGACATTGTTGACTCTGTTTATTTGAGTGTGCACCAGATGACACCATTTGGTACCTTTCAGAGTTGAATCCTTGCTGCGATTTGAGGTTCACATTCAACCCATCTGCAAAGTCTGGTAACACGAATCAAGGGTGACCTTGGGCAGAACAGAAATCTGTTTAACAGAGCCCACATACAGGGTAATATGTGGAACCCGATGGAACAGATGGTGATATTGGCAATAAGAACCTTGTTTGTTAACAGTGATTACAACCATTCCCACCAGCATGACTTTTCATATGTCTCCATGAGTTCTGTCACACCCAGGAAGACATATTGGGGGCAGACACGCTGCAAGTGGTCAGGGACGGTGCGTA